CCACGAGCAACAGAGCATTACTTTCTTTCGATGAATATCAGGTTTGGGAGTGGCTTAAGGGGTCTATCTGATAGGTTCTTCCTTTTATTAGGTTGGCTGGAAAATAATTTGCTCCTTTCGCTCCTTTTGCAGATCCAATGGCTCTGCGGAGTGGTAGGAGAATATGCCGCCCATTTCCCATCACCGCTCCAAAGCTGAAATGTGTTCATTTCTGATGGAAATCCTTTGATAAAACACTTTGCGTTATTTTACGCAAAGAAGTTGCCTAAGATTGATCGAAATATTTTGGGATCAATTATGCATTGGAAACTGGAATAAGTATTGATGATTTCACGTTGAAAATCTCACCCTAGCGTGGGTGTTCGAATCCGGGTATCCCTGATGCCAATCAATGAAATCCACTCGACTGAACCTTAGGGGGTATATCATCTGTTTTGGCAATATTTTGATGTGAGTGCAGTAGGCATTTCTTGTACACAGCCTCGGATTCGTCATGTCCGATAGGCGTTTGCATCTCATTGCCATTTAAAAACCTTACACCCTCCTTGGGACGTTCCCATGTAAATCTAATTAGTAGCACTAGTACTAAGTCTAGTACTAATTAATCCGGTACCAAAGTATTTAAAATTTCGCTACAATTGCCATATCAATACATGGTGACCAGTTCTGCCATCCCCCAGTCAGGAAAAGCCATTAGTTCCAATTCACATCGAATTCACATCAAATTCTCAAAAGGGACTGTGAGATGGCAATCCACGTCTCGTCTTTACTAACATTTTCTCCACAAAGATCGTCCAGCAAAGATTGCACGTTGTTTAGACTGACCCGTGTTCTTTGTCGAATCCACCGCTAACACTCATCCGATTACTTCAGTAATTTCACATCAAATTCAGAAAAGTTAGTCAAATTCTCCAAGGTCCTTGATCATAAAATGAGCATTTCATTTCCTAGGTCATACTATTACATGATGCATATAAATCTAGGTCGAGATTCTCAACAAATCTTCTGACTTCCGCAAGATCGCAAAATCTCAATCATCAAGCTATAACATTATCACATTATGAGTTTTCTTGTGACAACCATTTCTTTTTCATTTCAACTTCTCCTCGATTTCACCCTTCTATGATCAAATTTGTGTCATCTTTCTCGGATGATTGGTAAATTTCAAGTTAATCAGTCAATTTATTCGTGTTCTTTCAAAGCACTCATATCACTTTTATTTTACCGTACACTTTTTCTGGGTTTGCCCAGTTACATTTAAGTTTATCCAGTTATATCGATGAGAATTTCAATTCTAAAATTGAATCTCATTTAGAATAATGAAAAAGTGTTCATTTCCCTTTTTCCTTCTTGCTTTCCTTTTGGTTGGGAAAAGCCGACCTGGGAATGTTAACCGAATGGCTTGAAATAGAAGATGAAGAAGACAATAAAACATTGGGTGAAATGTTATTGCAACAGAAATACTGTTCGTAGACTACCCGAGAGCCTTTCTCATTTCCATTTCAGCGCTATCGGTCATTTTCGGCGAACTCTCACCTCACCTATAAGGGAAGAAATACAGTGGCGGTCTAGGGGACTGCGTTAAAGCTTTAAAGAAAGGCTCGGAACTGATTTTCTCCGGCACCCACATCGAAATGATGCTAAATGGTTTGGATCTGATCTAGATAGATTCTCTCCCAAACTTCACAAAACGAAAAAAAAGCCCATGATGATCAACTTCGAGTTTCTGTGATTACCACACTTTGCGGGCGCGACTAAAATGGAAGGATTGGCATTGAATGGATTTGGTAGGTCAATACATGCCCTTTTGTGTTTGTCTTGTCTTTCCCATCGCTTAGCCCAAAGTCATTTACTCAACTTATTTCGGATCGTAAAATTGGCAACCGTGCCGTTTTGAGGCCAAATATTCTCAGCCGCTAGGTCCAGGTACAAGTCTCCATTGAGTTGCAGCTTTCTAGCGATGTAGACGATACCGCCGAGAGTCTACAATCTTTTTGCTTGACAGCGTTCTACATTCATTGAAATTTATTCTTTTTGTTCTTCGAAGCAAACGCATCAGGAGCTGGACTGTCCAGAATCCTCTCAACGATTCCTGAACAGATATCTCAGTAGACAACAGAAAAGAGACACAATGCCTTTAGCTGAAACTTTATCGTGAAACAGAATATCTAAAAACCCCTTTTTAACTAGGAAATCACAAACTGAAGAACCGGCCATCTCGTTGAAGAAAATCGCCCAACTCGAAGCCGATCTGTGGGTTTTTCGCCAAATCTTTGCTTCTATCAAAAACAGTCTTTAATTTAATCGAAGCGTTTAGGGAAGAAATGAAAAAGGACAAAGACGTCGAGATGGGTCGATGGTCAAAAATCAAAAAAAAAGGCAAAAATCGCTCAAATCGAAGCGAATTTGAAAATCGCGAAGTTGGAGGCTGATTTGGTTGACGGAAGGGCGAGAAATCGAGAATTAGAAAGGAAAATCGCCGGGACGAAAAGGAAGAACGACGGTACAAGGTTTGGTGGATGTTGTGAACCAGGATTATCTTCATCGCAAGGCTTTCGATCAAAGAATAACATTCGACGAAGTCGAGGCATATTGTGCGAGTCGAAAGATCCATTTAGTCTCGATTCACAGTACCGAAGAGCACGATTTGGTTTGGAGACTTGGTAAGAAATCGAAATGATTCAATTCTGAAAATTCGTGATTTTCGTAGAAATTTATGCTTTATTAACCAAAAACAATCGATATTTCAGCGATATTTCAGCGAAAACTGTTAGTTTAAACTGGGATTTCTGGATCGGATTGCAGGTTGAATTTTTCTTATCGAAAGAAATAAATAGATAGAAAGGAATGATTCTTTCGGCCATTGTCGGAAGGCTCTTTGTGAAAAAATGACTCGTTTGACTGATAGTTCTCTGATAGAAATAATGGTTTCAATTGGGAAACTAGAATAATTTCAAGAAGAAAAAAGGAAAATCGGATCGAAATATCAATGTCTAAACATAAAAATTTCTTTATCCAGAGCAATCCGTACAAAGAAAATGCTTTTGAATGGACGGATCGAAGCTCGGAGGATTTCACGAATTGGAGGATGGAAACGAACTGAAACAAAACCCACGCTTATGTGAGATTTTCGGCGTGAAATCATCAATATTTGTTCCAATTTCCAATGCATAATTAATCCCAAAATATTTCGATCAATTTGAGGAAATTTCTTTTTGTGAAATTGCGCAAAGTGTTTGATCAAAAGATTTCCATCAGAAATTGACTCATTTCAGCTTGGGAGCGGCGATGGGAAATGGGTGGCCTATTTTCCTATCAATCAGTATCGTTTTATCTGCAAATCAGTGTTGTATCATATCAAAATGTGTTGTATCATCAGAAATTAACTCATTCATCGAATGACGTCAAAAAAGGAGAACAAAAATCTTACAAGTGATGAAAAAACCCCAAGAAAAACCTGAGATGCTACAATTGAATTCGATGCTATTGAGATGGCCAATCCACAACCCAACTGAGCTGGAGATCGAAATTGTTTAACAACTCGAGTAACATCAAAAAATCGGAGCTACAGTGCGTAACAAAATGATAGATCCACCATGTTTTTGGCCCCAGAAACTAGACATTTTGAATAAAAATTCAAGTTTTAACCAAAAACAAGTTCAAAATTTAGTTTTAAATCAATCTGCATCAAACTGTTGTTTCATCGCGAAGACATGGCGCTTATAGAAATGTTTCTATGCTTTTCGCCATTTTGCCCGCGTAACAAAATGATAGATCCACCTTGATTTAACAACGTTTTCGTTTATCAATTGATGTTATTCAGTTTTCAAAACATGGTGGATCTATCATTCTGTTACGCACTGCACTTCTTCTGACATATCCACATCTTCTGAAATCTTCCTCTTCTTGGGACCTCTCCCTCTTGCTCATCGCAATCAACAACTTCCCCTCCTTAAATTAACATTCATAATTGTTTCTGAGGCGTCATATTTTAGGAGTCATATCGTTCACCAAAGCCAACATCTGTCGTATTCGTAAAAATGGAATTTCTACGGATTCTTCTACTGGTTTGAATCAAATGAATCCTGTAACAAAAACCGAATTCCAGACTTTCTGTCTACTGGCCTTTTGCCATTTTGTTGAGGGATTACGGTAAACTTAGAGTTATATCGATTGGGCTGACAATAGGAGATTTTTCAGTTTTTTTTTCAGGAGTTAATGCCTTTAAAAGTCAATCTGAGAATGTTCAGTAAGTACAAGACGCCGATCAACGTTAAACCGAGACGGCACAGCTACGATCCCGGATATCCACAGAATCACGATCAATATGTGTAGTGTCAAACGGACAACAAGAATTAGTAGTTCATTGCTTTCTAGATCGAAATACACTGGCAAAGAAAGATACAACTCTATTCACTACCCGGCAATCAATGAGTGAGTGCTTTGAAGCATCTGGCTCGAAAACCCAAAACTCACAGAAAGCCATCTGCTCATCTCAAACCAGAACCCAGTTCATATATAAGAAGGTGATTCATGATCATTGTTTGAAAGCATCTCTCTTCATTACGATCATTTAATAATTACTCACAATAATAAATTTTTTCATTCAAGCCCACACTGGTTTCTGCTTTTTCTGATCTCCGAAAAATCTCCGCCTACAGAACCAACAGTGAGAACAACAAGGAAAAAAAACTCAAAGACAAATCGACGAGTTGAGGGACGAGAAGCGCGACCTTCACGAAGAATTGTCAGTTTCCTCATGCTGATGTCTATTGATGTTCAACACGTTTATCTAATAGTCTATTCAGGTGTGACGAGAAAGCAAAATCCTTGCAGCTTTGGCGAAATTCTGGGTTTTAGGGAAAACTTTTATATGAGATTTTTAAATAACAACTCAGAAATAAAGAAAAAGGTAATGTGCAGTTGTGTGTTTTCAGAAGACTGGATAAAATGGGATTTATTGGTTTTTGTCCACAGAAAAGAACATAAGGAACTTATCAGAATTGAGAGCGAATTTTGCAGATAAAACGAAGCAGACGGCCAGGACTATAGACCCGCCATTTTCCATCGTCGCTATCAAGCTGAAATGTGTTCATTTCTGATCGAAATCCTTTGATATAACACTTTGCCTTATTTCTAAAAAGAAATCTCCTAAGATTGATCCAAATATTTTTGAATCAAATTATGCATCGGAAATTGGAATAAATATCGATGATTTCACGCTGGAAATCTCACATAAGTGTGGGTGTCCCAATCCGGGTCTTTCGGATCCCAATTCGTGAAATCCACCGAACTTCCATCGGTCCATTCCAAAGCATTTTCGTCGTTCGGTTTGCTCTGGATAAAGTAATTTTTTGCGTTTAGACTTTGATATTTCGATCCGATTTTCCTTTTTTCTTCTTGAAATTTTTCTAGTTACCCAATTGAAACCATTATTTCAATCAAAGAACTACTAGCCAAACGAATCATTTTTTCACAAAAAGCCTTCGGGAAATGGCTGAAAGAATATCTTATATTCTTTCAGTTTCTATATCTTATATTTATTTATGTCTTTCAATAAGAAAAACTCAACCTTCAGTCCGATCCAGAACCCATGAAAGGGGTGAACAGTTTTCGCTGAAATAAACATCGGTTGTTCTTGGTTTACAAAGCATAAATTTCTACGATAATCATGAATTTTCAGAATTGAATCATTTCGATTTCTTACCCAGTTTCTGAACAAAATCGTTCTCTTCCTCACTTTGAATCGTGACTAAATGGCCCTGTCGGCCCGCACAATATGCCTCGGCTTCATCAAATGTCATTTCTTGATCGATAACCTTGAGATGAAGCTAATCCTGGTTTATAACATCCGTCAAACCTTGTACAAAGAAGCGGTTTTTGTCAAATACGACCATCCATTCGGATCCAAGACCAAAGTCATCGTTCGATTTCTGAATTTCTTGGAAGAACATTACTCCGGATTCTTTAGACAAATACTCCATCCTTTTCCTTAAAAAACCCACAAATATGCCCGCAACTTCTTGATTTCGGCCGTTTTGTTTTCTCTTTCAAATTCTCTAGAGGGGAATTGATTGGATTGAGTGGAATGGGTGTTTTGGGAATGAAGAAATTGTTTTCTCCAGTCTCAGTCGACAAGAGATACCAAATGAACTCACATTTGGGTTTCGAGGTCAGAGTTCTTGCTCTGCAACGCGTTGTTTTTCCCTTCGAGCTCTCCAATCTTGGTTTTTCCTTTCCTCACTTCCGTTTTTTGAGTTCTTCTGAAAAAGGTACGGATTTTTACTATATATTGAGCTTGTCAAAAAGAAAATTACAAAATTAGTACAATTGTGCTTCGAGATCGTCGTTCTTCCTTTTCGTTTCGGTGATTTTCTCCATTAAATTCGCCTCGATTTGAGCCAGTTTTGCTGTCAATCGACTCATCTCGACGTCTTTCTCCTTCGTTTCGTTCCGCTCTGTTGCGCTGAATACTCAAATCGCTCATTATTCAAAGTCCAAAAAAGATGAGCTTGAATTCTTCAAGATTTTTGATTTCACCCACATTTCCGTCTCGAGTCCGCTGATTTTTCCTCGGGCCTCGACGAGTTCTTGTTGCGTTTGATTCCTGAAAAGTCTTGTCATTGAGGCACTCAAGCCATTTCTGGTTTATTCTATCAATTTCGCTTTTCTCTCAAAAAACTCACCAATTTCTCTGACAAGATCTCAAACTATTTGAAGCTATTTGAAGGACGGTATCTTTACTGCTGAAATCTAAGATCATCGAAAAACCCCTATATAATCAACTTCAAAGTACGACGATCACCAGACAGAATTTCATCTCGATCTATCGGAGCTCTGAATGGTTGACTACATAGCTATTTGAAGGGAAAAGGATACGTGAATTGATCCAAATGATCGCTTTGTTGAATTGACGGGGAAATTTGATGGAAAAGGAGGAGAATCGTGATGAATAGACTGACGGCCATCACACCCATTCTGATGAATTGGTTGATTAGTTTTGAATTCGAGGAAATGGGAAGACCGAATCGAGAGACGATCCGATAAACAATTGTTTTTTTACGGAAAAGAGCTTTTGAGAGCCCTGAAATTGTTTAGGAAAGCGATTGACTCATTAAGCCGTTGAAAGAATCGCTTCGAATAGAACTTCGTGCAAAAAAAGTAACAGTTCGGGAAAAAGAAAGCCGTCAGTTCGTGTGAAGTTGGTGAGTGAGAAAACGCGGAGTTATCAGGAGACTACTTTCGGGGAAGGTCAACTGAACCGACCGTTCCCATAAAATCGCCACAATTATTCCTCAATCCCCGCGGGGGAGCTATCTATCTCTTCCCGGCGTAAACAATTTTTCCTAGAGCCTTTTTGACTTCCCCAACTTCAAAATTCAAAGCTCCTCGAGGTGTCATCATTGTTGATTGTTGTTTTGGTTGTTCTATGTTTTTTAAGTTGTTTTGTTTTAAAGCAGAACATTTTTATAAAAAGCATAGCTAAACAAAGCTTCTCTCAACGGAAACTGCGATATTCTCCATTGGCCGAAAACTGAAATGACCGAAATGACTGAAGAATTGCCTGAAAAGAGTGTCAAAGGCATAGAAGAACCGGCCACCTCCTTGAAGAAAATCGCCCAGCTCGAAGCCGATTTGTGGCTTTTTCGCCAAATCTTTGCTGGTATCAAAAACAGTCTTTAATTTAATTTTGAATTTTCTCGAAGCATAAGTGAATATTAAAGGAAAAGGCTACTAAATAAGCAGAATTAATGAGGAAATCAAACCAGAAATTTGTTGCCAGGCAAAATACGGATTTCTCACCAAATAAAGAGAAAGGAGGGGAATGCCCGATTCGTTTAGTCATCATTCGTCAACCAACAACAATCAATATTCATTTCAGCGAAAACTGAAAACGAAAACTTCGGCACTCTTTCGACTGTTTCCATTTGTCGAGTCATTTGGGGTAGCTCATTAAGAAAATCTATGGAAAAATTAGTGAGTCTAAAGAGAATTCATCTACCTCGAAATTGATTTTTCGGTTTTTGACGTAGTACGTAGCATAGGTATGTGTACAAGTTGGATATTTGCCTTGATAGGCATTTGAATGCTTATAAGTTTCCGGCTGTGTCTTCAAACAGCATTCCATGCAAATCGAAGCCCGCATTGAAGAGCAAACGATTTCTTCAAACGATTGAGAAGTTTATTCGGTTCTGCAGATTGACTGACTCAGTAAATTTGAAACTGGACTTTTCTTGCTTTGAACGACCCAAAGAGCCGAAACGAGGGTTTGAAGAAGCTGTCGGGTAGGAGACCAGACCGTCCATTTCCCATGGCCGCTCTAAAACTGAAATGGGTTCATTTCTAAAGAAAAGAAAAAAGAAATTTCCTCAGATTGATAGAAACATGTTTGAATTAACTATGCATTGGAAACAAATAAATGAATAAATATCGATGATCTCGGAATTCCGTGATGATTTCAACTTTTTCCAGAACGAGCCGAACTTTCGTCTAAATAACTTCAATAATCTCCGCATTCCATTCATGTTCTAATAGTTTTGATCTTATTCTATTATTTAACTTTAAATACCCAGCTTCATCTTTCAACGAGCCTAACACCTCACTTGCCATTTTTAAACCGAGTTTGCATTTGCCAACAAAAGAATTGATATGTTTTTGAATAGAATATACTGGTTTAAATTCAATGAAATCTGTTACTAAAACACGATACGACATTTGACGTTGATACGACTGACTAGCGATTGATTCAGTAAGATATACAATAGAGGAGAGCCCCTCCGTAAGCCCCAACTGTTTTGATAACGAAATCATGTGAGCTTTAAATTCCTTGACCAAAATGAATAGGCTCGGTTGTATTCCCAAGTTCCGATTGTTGATCGTTCGAATAAAGCTCGAACCCGGCAGTGCTTGACACAAATCTCGTCGACAGCCTTGTGGATCGTTTGGCCAATATCTCTCGAAATCTGAACGAGGCCCACTCGATGGTTTTCTTTGCTAATCTAAATGATTTTGAATTGAATATCGCCACCTAATGTGGAAATTTTATTTCTCGATAATATTTTTGGAGCCGATAGCCGACTTTTAACAAAATTTTTAAAGTTCGTTTTAACAAATTTATACAATGATTTAGGCATCAGTAAACCGTTTAAGTTTTAAATTAATGAGTGGAGCAATTTATTGGAGAACACACAAAAAAGATACAACAATAGCAAGAAAATTAAAAAATCATTGGTTTTTCAATCTTGAGGAATCATGAAGGATACTTGAAGAATTCTTAACAAAACTCTGCTTTCTTTATACCGTTCTGATAAATCTAGGCTGGACACTTACTCAAAGAAGCTGATGATCACTGTTTTCACGCTTCGCTTTGCTTCGTCTCTGTATACTAAAATTGTAGGCTAGTATGAATTGTTTTCGTTTACCTATATACACCAGGAATCAAATGGCTATCATCAGAGTAGGCAACGATTTTTTTTTAAGATTTATTTCATAAAATTAACGAATTGATAACCCGGAGAACATGAGCTGTGTTAAATTATGAATTGGAGAGATTGTAGATTGGCAGCAAAAATGGTTCAAATCGAGGCGAATTTAATGGGGAAAATCGCGAAGTTGGAAGCCGATTTGGAAAGGAAAGTCGCCGAGACGAAAAGCAAGAACGACGATCTCGAAGCACAATTGTAACAAAGTTAGAATTTTCCTCATTCGCCGCATTCGCTCTTCCCATTTGAAGCCGAGGATTTGAGAGTGCAAGAGGAGCGGGAAGCCTTTGACGTGAAATTCAAGCTCGAAGTGATTAAATACGCCAAGAAGAACTCCAATCAGAGAACTGCCAAACATTTTGGAGTATCACGATGGTCGATTCAAGATAGGTGAAAACCAAAAGCACTTCTCAAACAACTCGAGAATCGAAAACGGAAACGGGTCAATGATGCTGGGCGGGATTTGACGCTACCAGAGGTCGGTACTGCTCTGGCCATTTGGAATAGATCACAAGGAGCCGAGAAAAAGCTTTAGCTTTTAGCTTGCTTGCTTGCTCGCATTTAGCTTGCTTGAACTTGAAGAATCACCACAAGTCCAGCCATCAAAGTGTTGAAGCAAGCTAAATGCTAGTTGAAGACGAGTTATGATTGGTTAGAAAAATTGTTATCTCTGTTAGCTTTATTATATTTGTATGTTTTTTTTGTTAAACTTTAAATAAAATTAAAGGACAACTTTTATTGATCGAAGTGTATTTCTTGGTGATCCAAAGAGGTTCATCCGGTTTACTTTGTTAGATGCTTCCGGTCATTAGACCGACACCCTCTATGAGAACGGCATCCTCTAATAGAGCGGCACTCTAAAGGGGAATTGAAAACTAGAGCGGCATGCTTGATAATCTGTTATTCAAGAACTTTCAATCAAAACCGACCCAAATGATTAGCAATCATCATCAGTTGGCATTTCAGGCAATCTTAAAACCCTATCAATTCGACATTCCAAATGATGAATCGCTACATTCAACACCAAGACGCGACAAGCGAGAAAGAGTTCAGAGAGGCCTATTCGGGATTGCAAATACAAGTACTCGGTTTGTTGGAGGTTAAGAGTTGAATGAGAGTATGTATTTAAAGGAAATCGAGAAGGAATTCAAGCATTTCCTCCAAAAAGATAGCAGAATCGCAGCCGTAAGTGGCGATTTTCAATTCGAGAGTTACGAGCTGTTCATTCAAAAGCATTCCATTTGTTCGGATTTCCTTGAATAAAGAAATTTTTATGTTTAGCCATTGATATTTCGATCCGATTTTCCTTTTTCTTCTTGAAATTCTTCTAGTTACCCAATTGAAACCATTATTTCTATCAAAGAACTATCAGTCAAACGAATCATTTTTTCACAAAAAGCCTTTCGGAAATGGCTGAAAGAATCATTAGTTTCTATATATTTATTGATGTCTTTCAATAAGAAAAATTCAACCTTCAGTTCGACCCAGAGCCAAGAATCCGAATGAAACGTTACATATAGGCAAGCATTTCCTTGAGAAACAATATGCCTTAGACATCATTGAAGGCCATAAGCTTATCGACAAGCTTCAACCAAAGAAACAGTCTTTGTCAAATATGATTCACGAATCTATGTGCGGCTTCTCGATCTCTGACCGTCTTATTATCTCCGAAAGAATTAAAGAATATTGAATGAAGTTTGGCAACGACTGTGGAACACATATGATAATACTAACATTCTTTTTTCAAAATCCACGAGTTATCATTCACCTACCTCACACGAACTAACGGTTTCATTTTTTATGAAATGCCGCTTTTTTGTTGTTGAAGCGATTGTTTCAACGGCCTAATGAGTAAATCGTCGGTTGGAATGCGATCGCTTTTTCTAAACAATTTCAGCGCTCTTAAAGGCTCTTTTCCGCGAAAAAACAATTGTTTATCGGATCGTCCCTCCCTTCGTTCTTCCCATTTCCCCGAATTCAAAACGAATTAACCAATTCAGCGGAATGGGTGTGATGCCCTTGGGTCTATTCATCTCGATTCTCCTCCTTTTCCATCAAATTTCCTCATCGATTCAAGAAAGCGTTCAAGTGGATCCATCCACGTATTCTTTGCCCTTCAAATAGCTATGTTGTCAACCATTCAGATCTCCGAATGATCGAGGTGAGATCCGTGATCGTCGTACTTTGAAGTTGGTCAGAAAGAGACTTTTCGATGATCTTAGATTTCAGCCGTAAAGGGGATTGTCCGGATACCGTCTGCTTGAGATCTTGTCGAAGAAATTTGTTGGTTTTCTGGGAGAAAAGCGAAATTGATAGAATAAACAGGAAATAGACTTGAGTGTCTCAACGACAAGATTTTTCAGGAATGAAACCCAACAAGAACTCGTCGAGGCTCGAGGAAAAATCAAGGCGTTGCAGAGCAAGAACTCTGGCCTCGAAACCCAATTGTGAGTTTGGTAATTTGGTATCTCTTGTGGACTGCGACTTGAGAAAAC